TTGGCTCCTCCATCTCCAGCCCTCGTCTCTTGGCTCCTCCATCTCTGGGCTCCTCCATCTCCAACCCCCATCTCCAACCTTGCCTGGAGATCCTCCATCTCTTGGCTCCTCCATCTCCAACCTGGCCCAGAGCTCCTTCAGCTGCAACCTCTCTCTCTTTGCTCTTCGGTCTCCCACCTCACCACTCCTCTCCCATCTCCAACCTGGCCCAGAGCTCCTTCAGCTGCAACCTCTCTCTCTTTGCTCTTCGGTCTCCCACCTCACCACTCCTCTCCCTTTCTCCTTGAAAAGTAACCAGTGAAGGGGATTTTGGGGGCGTGCGTCCTCTACGCTTAAGTTTGGCTTCTGATTCCTTCTCTGTTTTGCTCACCAGTGGACGTGACTCTGGATCCAGCCACGGCGGGTCCCGAGGTGATCCTCTCCGAGGACCTCAAAGAGGCCACCTGGGGTAGACCTGGACGCCGGTGGCCTGAGGGTCCGGGCCGGTTCGACACGGATCCGTGCATGTTGGGCAGCGAGGGCTTTACCTCGGGCCGTCACTACTGGGAGGTGGAGGCGAACGGGCGCTTCTGGGCCGTTGGGGTGGCCCGCGAGTCGGTTCAGAGGAAAGGCCGGGTCCTCTTCAAGCCCAACGCTGAGATTTGGGGCTTGCAGAAGTACGACGAGCTCTGCGTGGCCCTCACGGCTCCTTCCAACACCTCCGTCCCGCTCCTCAACGGGGAGATCGGGGTCTACCTGGACTACGAGGTGGGACAGGTCTCCTTCTACGCCGTCGGCAGCCGCCAACTCATCTTCACCTTCCCTGTGGCCTCCTTCAGTGGAGAGAGGGTCTTCCCCTACTTCTGCGTGCTCCTTTCCACCATCAAACTGATGTCCCCCATGTCCCCCAAGGGTTGATGTGCCGGCAGGGTCCCCCCGAAGCTGGTTGCTCCACGGCGGTTGGAAACGCTCCTTGATGTTCCTCAACTCTTATGTACCAGGTCTCGGAGCCATTTCCACCTCGGCTCACGGTCCTACCTCCATCTTAGACGTCTCCGTTTTGGGTGACATCCAGTGGGTTTCGGGTCCGAGCTCGGTGCGGCTCGGCTCGGCCGGAAACCCCTGGTGTTTAATTCATCCAAAGCTCGTTAAGGGGAGCTGGGCTTCACCGAGCTGGTTTTGAGCTGAAAACTTGGGTTTTCCTCCCAAACTCGGCCCCCCTCTCAACGTTTCTTTTACTGACCTCGCTGCCCGTCGCTGCCCGGGCTTCCAACCTGAATTAAAAAAAAAATCTTAATTTGTGCAAT